TTATTTAGTTATAAATATTTTAAATAAGCTTTTGCTCAACAAATCTTAATAGAAAAATATTTAATTCATTATTTATTATTTCAGCTAATTTCCAATTTATTTTGTACAGTTTATTTACTTTTTCATATGACTTATAAGATCATGCTTATCTTTCGAGCAGCTCGACAGCTCTATTAAGCAGCATTTCAATGCAAAGTCAACCTGTTTACAAACAACAACTAAACGCGCTCTCTTAAATGCCAGCTGTTACGCTGCGCTCTCTCTCTCTTTCCCTCTCTCTCTCTCTCTCTCTCTATGCCGCTGTTGTTGTCGTTCTATCTCTCTCTTTCCGTATCGCTCTCTGTTAACCCTTTTGCGGGTCTGGCTTACGAAAGCGTTCAAGTGAACTACATTGAAACTGTGTGTTGTGCATGCTAAGATAAGAGGAAGGGGAGAGGGAGAGAGAATGAGAATGAGAGAGTGGGGGCTGCAATGCACAGCGAATATTTCAATGAAAATCAAATTTACATACGACGCCAAGTCACAGCAAAAACAAAAACAACAACAATAAGAACAACAACAATAGAGCACACAAGAGCGGCAATAACAATGGAGCACAGACATAGACATTGGGTCTAGTGCGTGGTACCGCAACCAACAAGTCCCAAGACCCAAACAACATGCACAATGAGCGCTTCAAGAGGCAAAAGAAAAAACCAACTGAAGATGCCTCAAGCCTAACTCTTGCGCCTGGCCCCATTGTTCTTGCCGAGACCCGGAGACCGGCGGCCGGAGACCGGAGACCGAAAGCCCAGACCCCTTGCTAACCCTTCAACGGGCAGACAAGACAAGACTCAGGCCATTAGGCGGAACTACTATGTGGCCATCCATTGCGTGGCCTCTTGTTTATGTTTGGGGCGTCTGTTGATGGTTGATTGTTGATGTTGATGTTGATAGTGATGGCTACTGTTTGGTCATTTACCAAATTGAGCATTTGACTGCTTAGCTGGCTGCTTTGTAATTAACCAGGCGTAACCAAGAACTCGCTTGAAGAGTGAAACTTCGCTCGCGCTTCCGTTGTCGATCTTGGGTTTTCTTTTTCTTGCAGCTCCTCAAACTCGAGCCTCGGGCGGTCGGTCGGGTCAGTCGCCTCCTTTGGAGCCGGTTGGCCAACATTTGTAGGGCATCGGCGGGGCAGTTCGATCGATCAGTAGTCACTGTAACGATGCGTAACGAGGCGTGTTCTTGAGCTCTTTTCAAATCTCTTGCACACTCTCGATCTTGTTGCGGTCATTTAGAAGACCAATGCAATTCTTATCTCCCTTCCTCTCAATGCGTCTCTCTCTCTCACTCCTGACTTCGGGTGGCACCCAAACTGGTTTCAGTTTTGATTTTTTAGTCTGCAGCTTATGGTACATTTGAGTTCAATTATTTCTTATGATACTCTGTAAATGGAGGATTGCTTAGGGGTAAGCTCTGAGATATTATTAAATCTCTATAGAAGTGCGAATCCTCATATTACAATACTTACTTAGCCAGAATATTTTTCTTAATATGAGAGCATTGATTCAAATCAAGTGTTATATTTGCATAGTTACAATTTGTGTAACAAATTAATTCTGAAGAAGATAACTAGAATGAATTTGAATTAGGGGAATGAATTATGATGAATTTACTAACACTCTTTATTTGAATAAAGAATCAAGAATTTTTCAAGATAAAGTATTATACCAAAGTAATATTTCTCGGGTATATGCCATATAAAATATATTAATTTTCCAAGTCTCGCATTATTCATTGACATAAATGATAAAATATCCATTTTCATCTCATTTTCATTTTCTAGAGTATATTCCAAGTCTGGCTGCATCTCTTCGGACCTCGCTAATAATACCATAATTATGATGTGTTTTTTTCGCACTTGCCATGGGCATGAGTCAACAGCTCTGGGGCATTACAAGCTCTGCGTTGCTTTGCTTTATGCGCGAAGTTTTTGTTATGTATCGCGTATTGTTTGTGTTTTCATATATTTTCGTAATGCATTGCGAATCGCAGTGAGCCAATGACAAGAGAACTTGGCTCGGTCAGTGTGTTGGCTACTGGATATGTGTGTCAAAGACAGTTAAGGATCTCCACCCAGCAGAGCGCATCGTGTGTGCGGCAACCAGATACAGATACAGATACAGATACTAATAGAGATACATTTCAATTACAACATTTGGCGCATTCTAAGAACCTTGAAGTCCAATTCTTAGCCCAGAACCAGCAAGCATATTTCGAAATTGCTTGAAGCTAAGTCAAAATACCGCTAAAAAGGTCAGATCTGGGCGTGAGAATTGAGAGCTCAGTCCAGTTGGCCAGCTCCAGCCCCAGCCACAGCCCCAGACCCATAAGAGTCGCTCTATAAAAGTTCACCAAAGCGCAGACCCGAAACATATTCCAAATACTACGCTGCCTGAACTGGATCACATCGGAACGGAACGAGACGAGACGGAGTTGGGCCAACGACTTCCGCAAGCGGCTTAATTGACGAAGAAGAAGAAACAGAAGAATTACAACAAATGCAATTGCAATTGAGGTCAGCAATAAGGTCAGCTGGAAGAGACACGGCTTTAGGCCAGGCTCAGGGCAGCCAAAAAGGGCAATAAGAGGAGGAAGAAGAAGAAGCAGCAGCAGAGACAACGCCAGCTGTTTATACTTCACATAGCTTGCGCTTCACTTCAGGCAAGGGCAGCGCGAGGGGCGGACTCTTCTACTTTTGTGACCATCATGGTTTATGGTCGGCTAGTGTAATAGTTTCTATGACTATTGCAGCTGTTGTAGTTGTTGTTGTTGTTGTCGTCATTATTATGCTTGTAGTTGTTGTTGTTGTTGGCTTTGTAGCTGTTTGCTGTAACCAAGCGGCATTGAGTTGCTGTTGTTATTGTTTTAATGATGCCAGAAAGAGACAGCTGCACAGAGAGCGCGGCTGGCAAAGAGAAAAAACTGTGCACTCGCCCGACCTGTTGTTGATGGAACTTAAGAGCGTCAATTGAATAATGTGGATGGTAAGTGCTTACGTTCCACAGCTGGCAGCTCTGTGTTGTGGATTTGCCATACTCAACTGTAAACTGGCAAAAATGGAAATTTAAAATTTAATAACAGAGTTTATTTTTAATGTATTTATTTATTAAGCTACAAACATTTATTTGTATAAATTCTATCTAATTTCAAAAGAGATTGATTAGAACAACGAAAATTGTAATAAATATTGGTATTAAATTTCCAATATGCTGACTGATAAAGAAATATAAATATGTTTATTACATATTTTATTCAACGCCTTGATTATAATAAAAACACAGTTGGGATTCGTCAAGCAACATGTGGAAAAAATACTCGTTTATTTGAATATAATATGTTTGTGTATATATAAATATATAGATATTTATATAAATTGTCATATGCAAACTATGTTTGATTTCATATCCATTATATTTTTCTTTTAGTTACAAAGTGAGTGTTAGTTATGTTGTAGGTGTCTTTTATTCACATAGTTCTCGCTTCATAGATAATACATGTTTGTAAAAATGTTCGCATGAGTTGATTTCATTAGAGGCCTCGTTAGAGATACACAGAGTTACATGGTTAACATACATTATGATACAAACATAAATTAAATACCAATAAAATATATATGTATATGGGCACGCATCTGATGCATGCAAGCAGGATTGCCTCAGCGCCAGCGATGGGGCCAACGCAGGTTCCACACAAATCGAACGTCGCTGGGAAAGCGCAGCCAAAGTGCAAATACAACAATCAGCAATAATGCAGCGGCCACCACGTAAGGCAGATTCTGAGAAAGGATATACGGAATATTAGTGGGTGTTATTAGCTGGAGCGGGACTCGAGCTGGAGTTGCAGCTGTGGTTGGAGGAAAGGTGGATACGAACTGCTTCGGCGTAAGCGTGTGTATTATTACCAAAAACAAATTGCAAGAAATGTGGAACTGCAATGCTACGTGAACGTTGAGCAAGAGGCGAGCTCTTGCCCAGAGTTCATGTGGCATGATAAGTTGCCACATCACATTCCTAGGCAATTTGTAATCTCTAAAATGTTTGCGCACTTATAAACCTAGCCTAGCTATTGCCCCGCCCCCCGCTGAAGCACTTAAATCTGCAGCACTCGCTTCACGTCGACTGTAGGGAAGACGGCGAATTCTCCTGCTGATGCACGATGTGGCTTCCGCTGTAGATACTCTGTCAGTATGTCCGAGGCGAGGCGGGAGGCGCGCGTGCAGATCTCCGTCTTCGGGGGCAGCGGCTGATTGCGGCGCTGCAGCGCGATGCTGTTGATATTGGCTGCTGACATGCCGCCGCTGCCCTTGGCCTGCACCTGCAGGAGGGAGAGCACCCAAGCATGCTTCATTTTGGTCAGCTGAGACTCGAGCGCATTGATGCGCTGATCTTGCGGCTGGGGCACATAGATTGGCTCCAGCTGCTTTAGCTTGGCGCGCATATCCTGCGCCTGCAGCCGCATGCGTTCGTTGCGCTCATTGTTGAAGGCGCACTTGAGCAGCTGCAGCTCCTCGGCCACCAGGGGAGCGGTGCCAGCGGGCGCCGTGTAGCTGACATTGGCGCTGCTCGTGCCCGTGGCGGACAGATTGTGGAGCGAGGAGTGCGAATCGGAGGTCAGACTCTTGCCGGCGCTGGTGTTCAGCTTCAGCTTGTCGCGCAGGTCGCTCTTCTCGCTCTCCAGCGCATCTATGTCGCTCTGCAAATGATCCATGGTCTCCTCGAATTCCTTCTCCTTCTGCAGCAGCTTCTTGTGCGTCTCCTCGTACTGCAGTTTCCACTTGTTCACCGCATGCTCGTACTCGTCTTGCAGCACGCTCAGCTTCTTCTCAGCGAGATCCTTGCGTATTTGCATTTCGCTCAGCTCGTTCAGCTTCATCTTGGCCGCCAGCTTGAGCTGCTTGATGTCCGCTTCGCGATTCTCGAGCGTTGCAGCCAGCACATTCTTCTGCTCCAGCTGTTTCTTGATCAGCTGCGAACGCTGACTGAGAGGCGTACTGAGCGTTTGGGGACGAGGAGCTGCGCCAGCGGCTGACATAATCTCGTACTCCTTGTCCAGCAGGTGCTGGGCAATGTGCTGCAGATCCGCGTTGGCCTGACCCAGCAGGGCCTTAAAGTTCTGCGTTGGCCCGCGATCGTCCTGTTCGTAGATGCGCTCACAGGCCGCCGACAACAGGGACCAGTACTTGTCCTGTGGGAGCGTGTGCTCCGCCGCATTGTCGCTCTCAATGTTGGCCACGATGGCAGCCAGCGCCTGCTTGGTGGCCAAATGCATGGCGGACATGATGCGACTGATATTCTGGGCCAGCGCCCGCATGGCATCCATCTTGTGCGGCGACAGACCGCACTTGATCACATGCTGATCGTTGGGCAGGCGTCGCTTGATCAGCTTCACCTGCTGCTTGATGCTCTCCATGTGCTCGTTGAGGAACTGTATGAGCAGCATCGAGTCACTGGCGGCGCCCGCCTCCTGGATGATCACCTTGGCAATGGCCGTGTCGTTCAGTATGGACTCACAGGCAGCGCTCAGCGAGGCCACACAGTCCCGTATCATTTGGGTCTCGTTCAGGAGCTGTTCGCCTGCCAGCAGCACCGAGTTCATGGCATTGAAGAACGCCACGCACTTCTCGATGTTGTCCGTGGTGCTGTTCTCGTCCAGTTGATTCGATTTCAGCAGCTCAATAATGCCGTCGACAATCTTCTCCTGGGCCACCATCTCCGGCAGCGAGCTACCAGCGCGCAGCAGCGTATCGGGCTGGCAGCTGTTGAGGCCGTAGAGGATCTGGTGCAGCGCACACTGCAGATTGTGGATGTAGTGCATCAGGCGGCACTTGAAGGCATACTGCTGCACCGCATGGCCCTGGGTGACGGCCTCGCGTGTCACCGCCTCCACGGCCGGGAAACGTTCGCGCGTCTGCGAGACGATAATGCCGCATTTGAACACAATGCGCGAGATTAGCAGTATGACTAATATGGAGTCATGGTCGCCACCGCGATTCATAAACGATTCGGGCATGAAGGCGGTCAGCATCTGGACATGCTCGTTGGCCTGGCTCAGCTCAATCTGACGCAGCTGGACGTCGATGGCGCGCGTGTAGGCCTTCGACTCGGCGAACATCTGCTTGTAGTCGATGGTCTCGGTGGCCAGCTTGAGGCTGGGATCCTGCAGTGACTTTTGATCATTGTTGGAGCTGCGCTCGCGCAGTTCGATCAGCTGTTCGTTCAGCTTCTGGACGAGCTCACGGAACTTGGTGATGGTCTGGTCGCGATCGTAGATGGTCTCAATGGCGGCATCGCGTTCCCGCAGCACCTCCTTTTTGGCGGCATTGGCCAGGTCCAGTTCCTCGCGCAAGTCCAGCTCCAGCTCGTGGTTGCTCTCCACCAGCTGCTCGTGCACCTCCTCCAGTGCCTCAAGCTGGGCGATTTCCTCCTCCAGCAGCTTCACTTTGTCCTCCAGCTCCATTTTCTTCTCGGCCAGCTGCTCCACCATCTCTTCGGCGCCCAGTGCAGCATCGACTTGTTCCTTGAGAAGTGCAATAATATTTGTTTCTTGTGTGAAATTAAGTCTTTGAATTGGCAATGCAAGAAATGCTTAGCGTAATATGAAAACTGTTGAAAACTCTTGGGGAAATGAATGAAACGAATGAAATGAAACTTGACATAAACTTGAACAATTGGAAATTACCTCCTGCAACCGTTTCATATTTATTTTATTTAATGTATGCCGGCAAAGAAATTAAATGAAAAATTTCACATTTTATTTAGAGTTTGGAGCGAAACACAGCAGATTCTTAGACATTTTAGTGTTGCAAAAAGAAATGTTCGTGAAGAGCTCAGCTACAGCAAAGCCAAGCAAAACAAAGCCAAGAAAAATTGTGCGAGTGTGTCATAAAAAGAGAGCGGCAGAGCTGAGTAAAGCAAGCGAAAGCAAAAAAGCTTAAAACAAAATTAAACTCAAGTCTTTGTTATGAGCGTGTTTGAAATAGAGTAAAGACACATACATACATCTATTCAGGCCTGCTCCCATTTGATGAAGAAAGGATATTAAAAAGGAAACATTGAATTTAATGTGGTAAACAAAAAATAAAAACAGAATCACATATTATCAATTTCAATAGAAAAAAAAAAAAAATAAATTTCTAAAAATGAATATTTCATTATTAGTTTCAGCTTCATAATCTTCACATAATCTCTATATTTATCTACCATAAATGGCATATGTAACTGCAGCAGAGGCGCTGTTAAAAATATATAACGAAATTCTAATTAAAAAAAGAAAATTTAAATAAGATTAGAAACCAATTTAAATAAAATAAGAATTCAATTAGTTGGGAATCAAATTTCAAGAACAGGCCTGATGGTTGCTATAGCAAGAGTAAAAGTATTCAACTCACCTGCAAGTCGGCGACTGTGGCCTCCAGCTCATCGATCTTTGAGCTGAGCTTTTCCTTTGTGCGCTCCAGTTCGGCGACCTCGGATCGTTTCATTTCCAGCTCCTTGGTCAGCTTTTGAATGTCGTGCTTGTCATGTGCCGTTAGATCTCGCAGTCGCACCAGTGTGTCCTTGAGGCGTATGTTTTGCTGTTCGAGCTGCTTAAATTCGTAGGTGGACATGCCACCCTCGGCGGCCGTTATGTTTGTCTCAGCCTTGTTTTGCATTTCGGAACGCAACAGCTCCAGGTCCACCTGTAGCTCTTCAATGCGCTCCTTGCTTGACTCCAACTCCAGCTGCAGCGTGTCGGCCTTTTCCTCGGCCATTTCTTTATCGAGTGTGATCATTTCGACGTTGTCGGAGAGCTCGGCCATTTCCTGGGCATGTCGCTCCTTGGCTTCGATGGCATCCTTTGCTTCCTGCTTGGCGCGTTGCAGCTCCTTTTGCAGCGAGGCCTGGGCTGACATGATTTTGGTGCGAAACTCCTGCAGTTGCTCGAATTGGATTTTCATTTTATCGAATTCACGTAGACGTTCTTTGTCCTCGTTGCGACGCTGCTTGAGCGTCTCCAATTTTTCGGTGACATCGGCTAGTTGTGTCTGCAGCTCTGCGGCTATCTTTTGTGCCTCCAACAAGGCCACTTTGTCCTCTGTTGCATTTGGAGGCGTCGTAAACGAAGGCGAACGCATGGGCTGTGATGGCGTAAACTGCGGCTTCAGTATCTCTAGAAAGCCTGTCTCTACAAACGACGCGCGCTTGGATGCCGTTGCTGATGCTGTTGCACCGGCTTCTTGTCCCGTACTGGTGGCATCCTTATCTTTGCTGCTCTGGGGCGCCAGCGACTTTCGTGTTGCCAGGCTGCTATTAGAGCTTGTTCGCTCGCTTAACGACGTGGTTAGTTGTGTGCGTGAACCAAGCAATGATTGGCGACTGGATGAGAGTGAGGTGCGTGATCCGCTAAGCCGTGCCTTTGTGGGTTGCGGCGTTGGCGTGGCACTGCCTGAACTACCGCTGCCGGGCGCATTTTCTGGAGCTGGTGTTACCACTCGCAGCTGCGTTGGTCTCACGAACATGCCACAATTCTCGTCACACTGGAAATATTGCTGTCCCTTAATGGAACCGCTATTCTTGCCTTTCGGTTCGTCCAGCACCACGCCCACCCACTTGCCAACGGCAAAGCTGGTCATGCCAACGTAGGCGATCGTGCCGAACAGCTCTTTGCCGGTCAGTTCGACCCGGGCGCCCACTTTTATGTTCTTCTCCGACATCTCGATGCACTGCCGTCACCTGGGCCAGTTGTGTGCGTTATATGACTGGCGTTAGATGACGTTATGTGTATATGTTTGAAAACGTGTACGTGAGCGATTGTATGTGAGCGTGTATGTATGTTCGTAGAAAAAAATTATAGGCATTAGAATTAAATTTCAATATATTTGCATATTGCAAATCAAATTGCAAAACTTACCTCAGTTTTTTTATACACCTGCTGCAGTCACGTCCAGCTTTTAAATATGGCTAACGCCAAGTAGCTGATTGGAAAGAGAAACCGAAAAATGTTGACATCATTAGTCACCAAAAGAGCAGTACTCACTGATGCCTAGCAATAATTGCCACCTGCATTCGATGCAATGCGTATGCATAACACACACACATGCGATACTTACATTTATAATAAAACAAAAGCAAATGTTTTCACTATTTGCAAAGTAATTCTTCCGAAAAATTCTAAATTCGCAAATTTACAAAGCTGAACAGCTGTGAGGTAGAGATGTGAGTTGTTAATGCTCAGCGATGATTTCTGAACAGCATCGATATATTGCAAAGTAGCTTTATAAAAATACTTAGATGTTTCAAACGATAGCAGAAAGTTTTTCCGATCTGGCAGCCCTGGAGTTTTGTTTACGTTTATTGGCCAGCTGAGCGCGCATTAAAAGGACTGCAAATTTTGAGCAAACAAAGTCGTGAATTTTTTTAAATAAATATGGACGAGGAAAACCATTTACATCGGTTTGGCACACCCTTGGAGCCACTTGAGAAAGGTAAATACTGTGAGAATACAATAGAGTGTGTTAATCATATATGTTTTCAGATGAGGTGCCCGCAAAAAAACCACTTGCGATTGAAGACCAAATTGTCAAAGATGAAAATGGTAAGCGCCGGTTTCATGGTGCCTTTACTGGGGGCTTTAGTGCTGGTTTTTGGAATACTGTTGGCTCACTGGAGGGTTGGACGCCACAGAATTTCAAGAGTTCACGGGGCGAAAAAGCCAGCAAAGTGCAACAACGACCCGAAGACTTCATGGACAATGAAGATTTGGGTGAATTTGGAATAGCCCCCCAAGGCATACGCACACGAGATGATTTCTCAAAGGAGAGCGAGCAAGAGCAGCGAACGGGCCAGCGCAAACGCAAGCTGATGCAGCCACAGGTGGCTGGACCCATTCCCGGTGTACCTGTCCTGGAACAGCTTTTACGTCCCGTACGTGATAAGGTTGCCGTGCGTATACTAAAGAGCATGGGTTGGAAGCCCGGCCAGGGTGTCGGACCGCGCCAAACGCGCAAAGAAAAACGACTGGCGATGGCGCGTAACAAAAGAGAACAATATCTGCTGGACCATTACGGGAATGAGGGACTTCCAAGCTCGACAAAGCAACAGCACAGTGAAGATGCAGCTGACGATGAGGATAATGATGACGAAGACGAAGATGAAGATGAGGACATTACCTTTGCCCCTGATGACTATGAGCCCATGTTTTACACCCCCAAAGAGAATCGCTTTGGCATGAGCTACTCAGGTCTCAGCCGTGCTCCAGTACTATCCAAGAGCAGCACGACTGCAGCTCCCATGCAGCACATTAATCTATTTGGCCAGATGGACACAGCGGCTAAGCAGAAGCCGTTCTCCATACGCGGCCAGGCCTTTGGCGTGGGAGCATTCGAGGAAGAGGACGAAGATATCTATGCAAAGGACGACATGACTCGCTATGACTTTTCGCTGGCTGACAAACAGCCCCAGCAAAAGAAAGCACAGTATGTGCAGCAGCGTCACGTGATCGATGGCTTCAGCGAGGACAAGAGTAACATCACTCACAATAAGCCGTTTGTAATCGATTTGCCTCGTGACTTTAAGCCTCGCAATTGGCTCCAGCGGCGCAGCCGGTTTACGCCCTTGGATGCAGAGCGTGCGCGTAAAATAGCCGAGGCGGACTATAAGAAGGCAGGCCTAGGTAGGCATGATCTAAATCCGGAGCAGCGGGCCCAACTGCTCGGTGAGTCACAAGTCAAAAAAAATCCCTTTAAGACGACAAACAGTGTCAGCACTCAGGAGCAACAGGAACGCAGTAAATCTCTGCTTGAATTAATTAGTGCCAAAAGTAACAATTTTACCAAGGGTGGACTCATAACTACAGCCGGCGAGGAACTGCCAGCGACGACGGTGGCGCCAGTCGAGCTCAGCAAAGAGCTGCAAGAATCGAATGCTGCACTCCAGGCACAGGCTGCCAGCAAGACCAAGAATTTAGGTATTTATCTCATTGATTCCTTGAAATAGGATTACTTATATAATAACTTCTTAATTCCAGCATCTAGCCAACCCTCCAGCGGATTCAAGCCCTTTCTTGCAGACGAAGCTAAACAGCAACGCTATGAAAAGTTTCTGGCAGCAAATCTTAAGGACGATAAAGAGATTACCGAATTTCTGGCCGAGCTACAGCCAGTTACGCTTTCTTTGTGGGATCGTGAAATGGAAAAAAAGGAGTTTATGCAGGCATCCAAGATCTACCGACCACTGGCTGGTCTCATGCTCGACAGATTTGTTTCAGAGGCTACGGTGCAGGAAGGGAATGCAAAACAAGAAGTCCAACCAGAAGAGAAGCTTAAAATTGTTATGAAACGCACGAAAGCTATGTGGAAGCCTAGCGCATTGTTATGCAAGCGATACAATATCGCGGAACCGTTTGGCGGTGCTCTGCCAGAAGTCGAAAATACATTAAAAGGCAAAGCCAAAATGTCCATATTTGATTATTTGGAGACTTCGGTCAACACCAAAGCGAATTTCCAAACACCTACAATTATACCCAAGCACATTGAGCTGCCCAAGCAGCACCAAGGACAGCAGCAGCGGGAGCAAGTGACGCTGCCGACTTCGAAGCCAGCACCAACAGCTCCTGTAGAAGAGGCAGAAGTTAAAGCGCCACTGGAGTCTGCTAGCAGCACAGCTACCAATCCCACTTTTGTGTCGAAGACACCACTTGAACATGCTGTAGATGCGGCACGGGACAAGCCCATTTCCGAAAAGATTGATCTTTTCAAGAGCATATTCGACGACAGCGACGAGGAGACAGAGGCCCCAGCAGTGGCACAGGGACAGCCGCCAGAGCTGGAGAGGGATGCTAAGATTAGGGAAATGCAAGCTGCCTTGGGCTTGCCATGCACCACAGCCACATCAGCGGCGGCGGTCAATTTGTTACGGAATAATTCACCTCCACGCGGACTATTTGCGGCACTGTTCAAACCACCAGAGGAGATGGTCAAGCCGACAGAGCCAGCGCCAACGAAGTTTGCTCCAATTCCTGGCAACAAGTTGAAGATTGCGTATAAATCGCGTGAGGAGAGACTGAGAAACGATCGGGAATTGGCCATGGCAGAGGTGCCTCAAGAGGACCTCTACGGGCCGAAGCTGCCCAGCCAGCTGAAGCCCACCGAGGTCCAGGCCGAGGCCAGCATCGATGCCAAGCTGCAACAGCTCTGGCAAGAGCATGCGCCGAAGAAACGCAAAGCTGAACAGTGGGTGGAACGCACGCTGAGCAGCAGCGAAGATAGCGACGAGGATAGCACCGATTCCAGCAGTGACGACAGCGATGTGAAGGCTAAGAAATCAAAGTCCAAGAAGTCCAGCTCCAAAAAGTCCAAGAAGTCAAAACAGAAGTCCAAGAAAAAGTCGAAAAAGGGCGAGAAATCAAAGCACAAGTCCAAGAAAAAGAAAAGCAAGCATTAACACTATGAGGAATTATTATTATGGTATTTGTATTTGGATATAGACTATTTCCTTATTTAAGTTAAAATCAAATACATATAGATGTGTTTTTTATAATAATGCCGAGCGTAGCTCAAATGGAGCTACTCTACCATGTTATAGAAGTACAATTGAAATCCAATTCCATTAAAGTTGGGTGATTTTTTGGCCGCGATCCTAATTTGATTGAACTTCACCAAGAATACTTCCGGCTCCTCTTGGCCACAGAAAGTGTAATGCAGCTTCTCGCTAAAGTCGGGCAAGACTTCGTAAACTTTGATATTGTCCAGTTGACAGTTGGAGTGGGAGCCCATGTCAAACGCTGAATGTAGAAAATACGATTAGTCGAATATCAAATATATATTTGAAATGCTATGTGGAACGTACATCTGAAACTAAATTGTAGAGTTTTACCACCAGGCACGGATATGCGCCAGCTACAGTCCGAATAGTTTCGATTATCGTAGTCCGGATTCGAGATTATGCCCTCTAGCCCATTGAGCTCACCTCCACAGCCCGGGGGAGACTTACTAGTTGTGGAGTAATATGTCAGCTGTAAGAACCTTACGCCCAAACCCGATAGACGAATGGCATTTGCTGTGCTACGAACGGATACGAATGAAATATATTCATTGTTTGTCAAATTATAGATGACATGATTTGTCCGAAGATCCGTCACCTGTAAAATGGATTTATCAATAAAAATTAAAAGGGAGTAGGAACTAAATTTTACTTAGAAAGTATTATAGAAATAAGAGAATTACTTACATTGAAGGAGGATGTGTTTGATCCATGTTCAAGTGTGATGTACATTATTTCGAGTGTCAAGTAATACTTATCTGGGACTCGTATGTAGTTGGTGCAGTTGCCTATCTCCAATTCATTATTCGTATAATAATAAATCATGCCGCTTAGGGCGTTGTAAGTGCGATTGCAATCTGCAATTGATTGAATTTGAATTTTGATAAAAAGTATGCCCTTCTATGTGATTCTCAAAGGATGAGGAAAGAAATAATTAAAGAAGTGATTTAGAAAGAAGTGAAGCAGCCGTAGAAGGCTGGATAGCTATAGACATATAGATATTGATATGTGCATACATATGTGATATCTGAAAGTTATCCATATATGTATTCTATTAGCTGCATTGACCTACTTGCTTTTCGGTGAAGTGAAATATCAATCGAGTCCAGTACTCCTTGTCTGCTGCTGTGGAATGTCAGCGTGAACTGCGTACCATTGGTAATATCCACAACAGTATTACGAAACTGGCCGCAAAAATACCGATTGTCGCCCTGGGAATAGCAGTAGTTAGAGCAATATTCATTTGACTGATTTCAGATGGACTCACATTTTGTATGGACATGAGCAGGTAATCGATGCATTTGCCTGTCGACTGGGCGACATCCTGGAGCTGAACCGATTTTAGGTCAAGCTCAAACGGAGCATTCGCTTTGAAGCCCCACATGCAGTGGATGCTGCCTCCCAAGCTGGTTTGGTTCACGTTGCTCATGCGAATATTCACTGTCTGTAATGGAAGGACGTGTGAGTGGGCAAAGAGCGTGTCCAAGGCTGAGGATCTATTACTCACCTCATTCCCAAGCAGATTGTATTTCAACTGACCGCAGACAGTGGCCTCCATTTGCAGAATCAGCTCGAAACCAATTCCATTCGGTTGAGCCACAGTTCCACTCAGCTTAATCAGCAAATCCGGGTTCGAGCTGAAGAGCTTGGTGTCATTGCCGTCGACGGCAGAGTAGATGCCCATGCTGGTGCTGTCCCTGTCGAAGCCGTCGATCACCTCTAGTGTGTTGCAGCTCTCCCCTTTGCAGCGATTCGCGTTCAGCTGCAACTGCTTGAGCCACACTGAGAGCCGATAGCCGGGCGCTGCACTGGCTCGGAAGAAGCACTGCAGGTCCTCGGTGCCATTGGTGGCATTCAGTTGGTAGTGACGCACCAGACTCATCCGTGTGTTACCCTCGCTTAACGCCAGGCGCTCATTGCAATTGGGAGTGAAGTGAACGCTAGCCAAGAAGCCCCTGCTGCTTTGCTCTAGGTACAATTTGTACACAATGGTTGCCTGATTGCTGTCCACCATAATGCTGGGTCTGGTTAGATTGCCACAGAGGCGGTAGAGGCGGTGCTCTTCATTCACCGCATTACCCCGATAGATGCTCAGATGGCCCAGTTGGCAGAGTTGGCTGCTTTCGATGTCCAAGTACTTGAAGCGCATGAGGATCGCATGCTGTGGTGGCGCCATCACATGCCACTCACAGCTCTTCCCGTTCGCAATGCCGATTGGCGGCCGCAGCGTAAAGGGCGCCCGGTAGTCGCCGCCACATTCGAGCCGCTGATACTGCAGCTCCCAGGCGATACTTGTCATCAGCTGGGGCGTGTACACAATGCGTATTCTCTTGTAGCCGGTCACCTCGAAAGTGGGGCATTGCCTGCCCAGCGACTGCTCCTCCTCGTGCTCGCCATCTAGCCGATAGGCCATAAAGCCAACCAGGCGACAGAGCTGTGCGGAGGGGCGCGCTCTGGATCTGCTAGTCACGCTGACCAGCAGCTGATGCTTGGTATCTGTGGTTATCTCTATGCTGCACTCCCTGCCCGCCAGGCGGTTCAGCTTGAGGAAGCTCAGCGTTTGCAGCTCTGTGCTGGCAACCAGCTTCGTGTCACAGCTGGGCGAGACGACAAAGGTGAAGCCGTCGGCTGTGATCTGATCGTCGGTGCGAAAAACAACTCGCATGCTGCTGGCCGGAATGAAGAGCGGATCGGGCATCTCGCGGCCGCAGTACTTGGCCAGGGGCTGCCACATGCCTTGCTGGAATTGAAGCACCTCCAGGCTATCGTGACTGCAGTTGGGCGCCGTTTCAATGAAGAATCTGCCCTGAAATTGCAGCTGCAGTGATAGCTTACCCAGTGCTTGGAACTCCCAGCTGAGCTCCATGTTGTTCCTATAGCTCTGAGCGTCTATTTTGATGGGCGGTGTTGGCTGTCGGCCGACGATTATTATGTTCCCCCAGCCCCCGAGGGACTCGGGCTTGCTGGTCTGCAGCCGGAACGGAGTGCTGTCGGCACGATACTCGGTCGCATGGTAGAGCAGCCTGATCTGTAACGAATTCAGCATTGTGGTGTTGAGATTCGATGCACTACCACAGAATTTCTGATCAGATATCATCAGATACTCGCGATCGCAGTTATCGCTTAAGCTTAGGTCGCCGTTTATCTCGTATCCAAAAGGCTTCATCAGTGTCCACGCGCACTCCAGCTGGCCAAAGTGCGCAACCATTTGGGGCAACTCAATGACGGTACCCTCAGCCAACTCCACGTGCCCGCCGCATGCGTAACGACGGTAAGTGGCCCGGAAATGTGTACCGCCGTTGTCCATCTGCTTCATCAGCGTCAAGTGACCGGCTGTGGTGGCTAGCGAATAGGTGGCATTCTCTGTGATCAAGCTCATCTTGTTGAAAACGACATCATCATTCAGCTGAACACTGGGCTGCTGTCGTCTACTGCGATATTCCTGCACTGTGAAGCTGGTTGTCACACCGGGATCGCTGACAAAGTTAATCGTGCAGTAATAGGTGGGCAGATGCTCCAGACCTTCGTTGGATATTGTTCCACTTGCCCGACTGCCAATGTCGTCCGGACATGGCGAGGCTTCACTCGAGCTGAAGCGCGCACGGAGTGTAATCGGCTGAGCCGAGATCACCATGCGAACTAGCATAAAGTTGTCTGTGGATCTAACAACGCCATCCCCGTTGTAATTTTGTGGATTGAGCGCTGTAATCTTGGACAAGTAGATGGGATCATTGTAAAAGCTAACCGGAGTTCTAAACATCATTCGGGGCCTTTAAAGTTAAAATTTAAATTTAAATTTGACAACCAATAGAGAAATATAATTGCAAGCCGTTTTACTCACGTCGAATTAAGCGACCGGAACTCATCCAGATTGAGGAGCTCAAGACGTACCCGTTGACCCTTGGGCACCGTAATACGCCATGAGCAAAACCGTATGTACTGCGTTGGCTCGGACTTCTTCAGTTCCAGCTCCCCACTCGCCGCGTTCACTGTCTGATGGCACGACCCAAAAAGAGATTGATATTCCAGCTTGAAGCCCCGATACTTGTTACCAAGCTGCTTCGTGACAAAGCGCAATACCACCTGATTTGTGGTCAAGGTAATTGGTATGGGAGCGCTCCTATTGCCAAACAGTGTCATGACGATCTTACGCTCATCGTTTGGATCCAGGATTTCAATGCGATCGAGTCCCTCAGAATCAGATGACGCCGCGAAGGGCAAATGCAAATCGGTAAAATTCAATTGAATGTGTGTATTCGCCATCGATAGGATGCTATACTCGCAGACCGCTGGCTTAGGATATCCGCCCAGTGCGGGATAGTGCTCCGACTGGATGGTGCCGCTCCGTGCGGTGAACCGGCCGCCGCACCTGCTAAGAGAAACGTTCAGCCGGAAGCCACCGTGTGGCTCGTTCAGCTGCGTCTGATAGTGCACCAGCAGGAGATTGCCGGAGCTGTATTTGGTGCCTGTACTTCGGCAGGTGCGTAGCAGTCGGCGAGCTAGAGTTGTGCTGCCGTCGTAGAGCTCAACGAACTCCTTGTCACAATTGCGCTGGCTGAGGGCGAAGCGGTCAACGAAAGTGGCTGCTATGGTCTCGCCAGGCGGTGCCACAACTACCCAGGTACAGTCGGAGTGTGGATGCGGATAGTAGGGGTAGCCAGGAGAGCTGATGTTATAGCTGCTTGCCAGATGTGTGAGACGAACCTCTGCATCGCATTCACTGAACTCGCGGTACGTCAGATTCCAGCTACTCTGCACCGGCTGGAAGTTGAGTTTTGTCGACGGATAAACGTATCGAACGTAGGCATGCGGTCCGCTGGTCCGGTAGCTGCGCACCGTATTGTAGCCCAACTGGTTACAGAACTTACCCGGCGCCAACTGTGGGGCGTACGCGTCCAGGCCATCGTAGATGATGC